ACCCCCCAAACTAGAACTAAGGGACGCAAATTCAGCTACGTGAATAATGTAGCTGAAGTTGCTTACCTTAGTTCGAATTAGTTCGAACTTACCTTGGTCCACACTCGGCAGGCAGGCTCCCCTGTCGACTCCGCGGTACTCCTCTCGGCGAGCTGGAGTACCGCAGTCGACGGCGAGCACTTCCGGGTTCGACTTATCACGTCCAGACTAGACGCGATAAGTCGAACCCAGAAGTTCGATTTCCAGCCGTCGAACTAGCGGGTAAGTGTAGCCAAGGCCTAAGTCATTTCTGAGGAAGGACTGAACTTTTTTTGTTTTTTTAAAAGAACACAAAATCGTAGGATCATAAATCATAGGACTCGAAGGGACCTTGAGAGGTCATCTAGTCCAGTCTTCTGCACTTGTGGCAGGGAAATGTTGAAGAGTTAAACAATGAATTGCCATTAAAGACAGTGGGCCTGCTCCTGCACCCATTGACGTAAATGACCAAACAGTCAGTTTCTCCCCTCGTGGCATGCTGCCATAGCTGAGAGCAGCAGAGGTCCTTGAGCTGCAGCCTCATTGGTGTAAATGAGAAGGGGTTGCTGGCAGGCCGTTCTTGGCAAAAGCCCTACAGCTTTGAAATTCACTTCCCCCTCTTTGGGTTCAAAATAGCTCTGATTTGAACTTCAGGGTGCTTTGCAAGACTCATCTATCCCCCCCTTCCCCCCACCCTCATGACAGTTGAAAACGGGGAAGAATGGAGGGGTAAATTGTTTTGAGGAGGGATTGGAGTGGGATATCTATTTGCTAAACTTGGTATGTACGTGTAATCTCTGCCAACGACACCTAGAGCGTATGGATGGGCACCCTCTTTAGCATGTCTATAAACCTAAATAAAATGTCCATTGACTTGAATAGGAGTGGGATCGAGCCTTGTTTTTTGCAGCTGAAATGGTATTTCAGCTCTAACCTGTAGCTATTTTAGTAAGCAACCATTTAAATAGAACCTCTCTGCAGTTTGGAAATGTCTGAATGTCTTTTTAAAAGCTCTTCTAAACTTTAACAAAGTTAAAGAACACTGTGATGGGCTTAGGATGTGAGAATACTTCACTGTTAATTGAAAGGCTCTTTTTGTGAGTATCACAGTCAATGACTTGTCTTGAGCAGCTAATTAGTACGATTATTCCACAGCTGCATTAGTTTCACCACAAAGGTTTTTCTCTTGTTTTATCAAAAGGATCAGTCTCTCTGG